CTTCCGCCTTTGTGGACCGGAATTGTTATTTCGAGCTTCCACAGCGCAGGAACCTGGTTCCGGTCTAAGCAGCGCTAAAAGAACTGGGTCAAATATGTTGCCAAAGGTGATGTTCTACTGTTGTTCCCAGTGTCTCTGGGCGAATGGTGTCGACTCCCGGGGAGCGGTGATTGTACAGAGACGTCAGCTTCTCTAATATAGCGTCAGCAGTAAGCTGGATGTAGGTTAATCCTGGAGACGGGAAAACAAATGCCGAGATATTGCCTGATAGTGAAACATTAGGAAATGTACGAGCATATTGCTTCTTCAACGCGTTTGCTGCTTTTATTGTTGTTCTGGTTAGACCGGCAGTCGTACGGATTGGAGGAATCCCCTGCGTCACCTAACGGATCAGATTAACATACTTGTACAGCAGTTTGTGATTAGCGTAAAAACGTTTCGCCATATCCTGTTAACATGCTACTTTGTCATCTCTGAGTAATTGAGTGCAGTGGTTGCGACGGGATACGTAGTTGTTCCAATTACCTAGCGTCGGTGATGACTTATGCTCTCGCCAGGTTGTGTTGCGTACAATCATCCATGTTCTAGTTCCACTCCCTCTCGAAGGAAAAGGTTTTGGGCCACTGCCAGCCCTTATCTCTGAGGCATCCTTAACCAGTTTATTGAATTTGCTGTCGAATTCGAGCCAAGCGTCTTCCAGGTGGCCTTCAGCGAGGAACGACCAGGCTGTGGCACTGACGAGCTGGTCTTAGCCATCGTAGTGTGTAGTGGTGCGCAACACCTCTGTGTTCTATTGGGGATATTCCGCTTAGAAGATGAAGTCAGAACTGATGACTGCATGATCAATACGACCAAAAGGACATTCTTCTATCAATGCAACAATCCTCAGTTAGTCCTTAGTGAACACAAGATCCAGATAAGATGGTCCATTACCTGTTCTGAAACGAGTGGACATAGTGACATGATTGCAAACTGGAACACTGTTTGTGAACTCTTACGGATCTGCTCTGATTGGTTTTCCAATTCTAGCAAGGGTTTCTAAACAGTGTACGTTGAAATCACCCATGATAAGGAGGTGAGTGTGCTTTCGCTTTATACTGCATCTTAAAGCTGTCGCAAAGTGGCAGTCGGTTTCCCGTGTGGAGTGGTACATCAAACCTATAAGGCAGCTGTCACTGCCATGTGACTGCAGTCGGCACCATAGAGAAGCAGCAAACTGTTAATCTGAATCCTCAACGGCCTCACACTGTAGGTCGCTTCGGTAATACGGAATTACCCGTCCTCCTTGCGTAGGCTTGTTTTGCATTATGAGTGACATGCCCGGCAGCGGGACTGCAGCGTCTGTCATCAAAGTGTGTAACCAAGTCTCTGTTTAACGGATGCTATCAAACGACTTCGAAATTTGGCGATCTTTCAGTTCGACCAGCTTATCGAAAGGGTTATTGAGCACTGTTACAAATGCAGGATAGCTTCCAGGTTATTAGGAGTCCACAGGCAGTTTAATTTTTGGGATGATGATACATCGCCCGTAACTTCAATTGAACAAGGTATGTCCTATTCCTCTTTCGGACATATTGAAGAATCGCGTGACCGAATGCTTAAATGTAGCTCCCATGTAATCGCCAGTAGCTTCACATTTTCAGATAGGCTCATGTCTGGTCTTTGCAACGATTTAGCTGCTTTAAATGAAGTTCAGATGGAAGGCTTTCCGATGTCGCCACCAAAGTTCCAACACTTCAGTGCCTGTCTGCTCTGACAGAACCAGGAATTTTAGAATTCATGGGCCGCATCCACTATAATTCGTGAGCGATCGCGCCACAACGATGTTCAAGGAATATGTTTCACGAATGATCCGCCTGTGTTATATTTTATGATAACCGGCCTCATGAGTATCGTAAGAAAGAAGTTTTGGCACCTTAAAAAGTAAAGATTGTGCTTGGACAATCCAGATTGATGTGTTCATCTGAGATGTTTCTTTACATTAACGCGTGTTCCAAGTGACCTCAGGAGAGATGCGTACTCTACAAGACCCGTGTTGCAGTGCAGTTGCAGTGAGTTATACGTTTTCTACATCAATGGCCGATTCCAGTGTTAATCTAATAATTCTGGGTTCGCCATAGTGTGCAGAATTCGGGTGACGAGTAACTGTCAATAGGTTTGCGTGTTTGACTTTTATGTTCATCAAAATGCACAGCGAGTTGCACTGGACACACTTGCTGATATAGCTAGGAGCCGACCTCAGTGGCGTTCGTGCTGTGAGTTTCTTTGTCGCACCCCATCCCTCTTAGCCTCCCCTCCAACCACGATCTCATTATTTAGCCTTATATAATCTTGCATAATATTTTTTGGGTGCACAGCAGCTGGCTGGTAGCTTACCGGAACGATGCCCATCCGTTACCGGTAGCTCAGCCAGCTTGCGCCGGTTGCTTTTTTTCTCCTTTTTTCTATGTATTGCGGCACAGTAGCTGAGGTGTTCCCCACCTCTAGCTAACGTGTATGATGATGATGAGTCAGACAACTTACCTTGTACTTCGATAGCGGCAGATTCGGGGACATAAGTGCACGCGACAGTCAAAACGCTGTTGTTGGGGCTTTTTTTATTGAGTTACAAGTCAAATGATTGTTCGGCCTGACTTTATGCCACGTGATGATATTTTACCATAGGTAGCTGTATTGGCGTTAGCGGTGTTTACAACAGAAGAGACAGTAAATGCAGCAGCTTGAGGGAATTTTATTGCGATTCCTTTTATTGCGATTCCTTCACAAGTGACTTGAGTCTCGAGGGATTTGTATTCAACCGGGAACCATTGGGTAACAGATGCAGATGGTTGTCCGATCCTAGTTAATGATTCCAGTTTTCATGACCGGTTGAATCTGCTAGATAACACATTTCGTGTGTAACCGGAATTTTGTGCTTCTATGTACCGTTTGTCCATCACAGCTACAGTCTGTTTTCGTCTGGCCTTTTCCCAAAATCGACGAATTTATTTGTACAGGTGACATTATCAATTTTGTTTTGGGCGAAGTAAATTTTGTACTGTTGCTTTTCTTAGAGGTCACTTTGTTTTCCTGGTGCATACTTGCTTCCAGTGAGATAATGTTAGCGATCGTTTGTTGTTCAACTTCCTCTGCTAAGCGGTCGCGCTTTTGAAATTTGGAGAAATACTCTTTACTCTTTCGGGGTGATCCAGCACGCAGTAGGAACCAAGAGATTATCTTGCGCGCCTTTTCCATTTATTATTTGTTGTTTGGAAATATTTGTACATTTTATTTGGTACCATTTGAAATCTTGTGGCAGGCTTAGCTTTGTTTGTCTAATCGATTACATTCCGCCGTCTGCGACCTTTTTTATTCTCGTTTGCTTGCTTTCTGCTACTTAGTGCAGTGTCGTTACGTGACACTACGAGCGGCTTGATATTGTGTACTTTTCTTACTTTGGTCTATTGCGGACACCAGTGATACGACCGTTGTTGTTGCAAGGGTCAAAGACAGGCTAACGAACGATGTGGCTGCGTTGGCCGGTGTGATGGTTTGCGGCAGAGCACTGTTTTACAAGGTAAAAAAAACGTGGCGATTGGCTTTGATGCGTCTATTAATTCCAACTGAATGCTGGGGGAGTAACAGCCTAGTAGGAAATGCGAGGGAGCTGCTGCAAATGGTAGTGCAGAAGAACAATTGTTGGTTGTCTTGATGGCCTACAGAAAGAGCTATCGAAGGATAGAAAAAATATCCACAAAACGCTTGAAATTTTAAGTTTAGTAACAAACATATAGGTGAATCATATGTTGAAACGGTAAGAATAATCCGGATGAGTCAGGCGTTTTGTAGAGCAGAGAAATCCGAGTAGAATGTGTAAACTCAGTTGTACGCAGCAAAATGTTGAGGAATAGTCCGCTGAAAGGCAACAGAGTAGATGCAAGTAGCTAGTCTGATGGAGTGCCGTACAATTTCCTGGCTGCGTGCGTCCGCCCCGACGGTGGTAGTGAATGTATTCGCCTAGTCTTTCAGAGTCGATTGTTGTATCCGAACTCGCACCGAGCTTAGAAATAGTAGAAGGGATCTACCATCGATTACAGTATGCGGCGTCCTTTTAGCTCTTTAATGTTAAATAAGCCCTACTCAGAAAAGGAGGAACGTTAGTTTAGGGCCGGCTGGCGCTTTCGCGTTATAACCTAGTACGCTTTGGACCCAAGTGCTATCAGTTTGAGAGGCATGGCGGAATGCGAACTCAGTAATGGTGTTGATCGCGTTTCGTACCTCCCTGGCAATCTAGCTTTACCTCATTCCGACTAACTGAGGAAGGCGATGGGGTTCAGAGATGTATACGCCAAGTATAGCGCACCATAGAACAATGATCGGTTAATGATCGGTTGCTTTACATTTGCATCCGTCCCACATCATAAGCACTGCATCGATTAAGATGAAAAAATAACTGTGAAAAATGCTCCATCCTGAGGTACGGTAGTGTTGGTAAGCCTTGCGAATCATGACAGGCAATACATGCATCCTATACTCTCCTTGAACCCGCAGCAAAGATGTTAAACTGTAGTTGTGCTGTAGTGACTCTTTATCGTTAGTTATTGTAGCACCATGAAGTTTATCCAGTTTACAATAACGGACAATAAAACTTTATTTTGTTGTATTCATTACACTTCCGAGCTAATTTCAAGCAGTCCTCAGATCGGCCAAATCTAGATAACTTTCTTGACCCTCGAACCTAGCACAATTGCCAGTCCTGCGCTTATACAGCGCCATGTATTCACCACCTACAGGTAAATTAATGTTATACTATGAATTTTGGTGTACTCCGTTCTCAGTGACTTTAGTTAATGATTGCGAACATTTCGTTAGAATGCGAAAGAGTGTTCATTCTAATGATACATCAAACTTTCTTCCAGCCTTTAAAATGTACGCTGCTCAAACGTAAAACTGATGGCCGGATCGAATGTAAAATTTCAAGGGATTCAATGTGATCAGTCAAAGCATACTTGTACACTGACCTCAAATTCAACAGCGGAGTGGAGAGTTCCGTGAGGAGTTTCACATGTGCAAAGAATGCCCCGAGATGGAACACCTGCAACACGAAAAAATAATGTAATTATGCAACTACCAACGCAACCTATTCTATCTGAAAAATAACATGCATGTGGCGCGTACTCATAGGGCATCTGGATTGCTCCTGTCTATCTTCTCGCAGCGTAGTCAACTCACTTTCCTTCGGGCCAGATTTACCAGATCTACACAGTGATCCATCAGACGTGGAATTATCTTTACCCATAACGTCCTCATCAGCACTACTTTTTCTGTCGTCTGCGATTAAACACAAGCGAACAACGCAATCAATTTGTGTCGGTTACGATTCGATACAGAACTCTCGATGCTGATAAGTCTGAAAAAGCCAAGCCGGTGTTTCTCAAAGCAGCTGTGGAGGAATTTGTGATCTCTCAATATGTGAGCAGCGTTAGGTTCATCCCAAACCAACTAAAATTCAGTCGATTAGACGACCAACGTTGAAGCGTGTTCGCCCATCGCAATGAGGCTGGATCTTACCGTGGTGCGATGGTTTGTGTGCCTCAGTGATTCATTGAGCTATACTGGGTAGTGCATTTTTGCACCTTCAGAGCCACTCATACCAGATTGGCCAATGGTTAAAGGCCATACAAAATCAGCCTCCTGGTCCTCCAGGTTGGGGTTGGAATGAGGGTGGCTCCTTATTCCTTAAAACGGACACCTTGTAGCCCAATGCCAAACCCGCTGCTTTGCGGACAGGTTTTTTGAACCAAAGGCTTTGATTCAGAACCCTAATCGTTCTCCTGTCTAGGCCTGGGCAATCTGACAGTATTCTGCCTATGCGATACGATGAATTTCACTTCAAACAAATTTCTGATGCTCTGGCCACCGCAGAGGATAATCAACGGTGCCCTATCTGCTGCATCGGGCAGGGTAGATAGGGGTTTGGATGCTACTGCTCAAGCCTTCCCGTCCTCTTATTCCCCTTCTTCCGCTTTTTCACCCTTATCGTCCCGTTCCAGCTTCACTTTTATCCCCCTGTTTTCAACCCTTAATTATCAGCCCTCTCCCACCTTGCTTCCATAGTCGCTTGTCTCTTAGTTTCAACTCACAGGTGAACACGGAGCGTCATTCCTGCTCTGTCAATAGGCCCATGTCCAACCAAGCGGCCCATTCCAGTTCATCCGCTTCCATTTGGAGCCCTCGATCCTCCTTCAGATTGGCATGCCTCAATGTTCCCACAGTGCTTCAGATCGGTCAACAGGCCACACTTGTTCGAACATTAGAGACCATATCGATCCATATCTGCTGCTTATCGGAGACCCGCCTGCAAGACTCGAGCTCTGTACTCACTCTGCGATCCCCTTCAGGTGACACCAGCAGCACTTTCTCATTGCGCCTATCCGGTGACGATGCAGTTTCGAACACCGGCCAAACCGATGTTGATATTGCCCTGATTCCCCTGGCTGAAGCTACTCTGGTTGATTGGATTCCAATCAGTAGCCGGATGTGTGCGATCCGATTGGCTGACTCGTTCAAATCTTCCAAGTCGCGTGGGACTAACAGGTGTCTGTTCGTTATCGCTGCCTATGCACCGACAAACTGTTGCGCTGACTCGGTGAAAGGCGACTTCTATCGTCAACTGAATGAGCTTCTTAGCCACAGAAGAAGCTCGGACACTGTAGTGCTGGCCGGGGATCTGAATGCTCAAGTTGGAAATTTATCCACAGATGAGCTGCATCTGGGCGGCCAACATGGTGTTGGCTCCCGTAATGATAACGGTGAGCGGTTACTTCATTTGTGTGGGGATGCTCGTTTATTTCTTGCGAGCATTAATTTCAGACCCAGCACCCGCCGGACGGTGACTTGGCGCCCACCAGTCCCGAACCAGCTATGGATGCATATCGGTCACACCGAGATAAGTTACCGATGGAGAGGCTTCGTCCAGAACTGTCGCTCGATTTGGAGCACATGGGTGGACACCGATCATGCACTTGTATGTGCTGACCTGCGGATGCGCTTTGGTGGACGCCCACGACGATGTGAGCGCATTGACAAGGGGCAAATGGCGAAGCCAGCTGTCCTAAATGCGTATCAAAGTACGCTGTCATCTGAGTTGGATAAACGCTCACCGAATGCAATTGCAGCTCACTGGTCTCATATTCACCAGACCTTACTAGCAGCAGGAAAATCCTCATGTGGTATGTCTAATCGCCAACATGAACATTGGGTCTCTTCACAGTCTCTGGAACTTATAGATGCTAGCCTGCATATTCCGGTTGGAAGCGAACACAATAAAACTCACAAAGAGCTCCGGGTGAAACTCCGTGCTAGCCTGAAGAGAGACCGCGAATCCTGGTGGCCTCATCGCGCAACAGAGATGGAAATGGCCGCTGCCCTTGGTAACCATTGTAAGTTATTCCGTCTGATACGGGAAACGGGCAGTAGGAGACCTGGTGTTAGTGAAACTGTACGTGACGAGAGTGAACAGCCTATCTACAACTTATCAAAACGCTTAGAGCGTTAGGCTGAGCACTTTATAGGTAATTTAATCAGTCGGAATGGTTAGATTTCTCGCCGGCCACTGATCTCCCCGCTCCCTGGGCTGTCCCTTTGGATCCACCCTCTCGCTCAGAAGTCGAATGTGAGATCGAACTGTTGAAGTTAAATCAAGCCGCGGGACCTAATGATCTCCCTCCAGCCCTCTTCAAATTCGGGGGACCTGCTCTTATGGATGATTTATACGAGTTACTAGTCAAACTGTGGGAGCAGGAAACTGTCCCAACCGATTGGAGCCACTCCGTCATAGTCTCAATTTTCAAAGGAGGCTCAGGATCGGAAAGCGGCAGCCATAGAAGAATCAGTCTGATCCCCATCGCCTCCAAATTGCTTGCCTCTGTCATCCCTCACCGACTGACTGGCACTCGTGAAAGTCAGATTCGTGAAGGGCAAGCTGGATTTCGTCGAGGTCGTGGCTGCATTGATCACATCTTCACATTGCGTCAGTTGTTGGAGCAAAGTTACCTATATTGGCGGCCCACTCTTCTCGTGTTCCTCGATATCAAAGGTGCATTCGATTCCGTAGATAGACATGCACTTTGGTATTGTCTACTCAGGAAAGGTGTACCTCAGAAATATGTGAATATTATCCGAGCATTATATGCGCGTAGCTCGGGCAGAGTGATGGCTTACGGCAGGTTGTCGTCGCTCTTTAATATCTCCAGCGGCGTGGGACAAGGATGCCCACTGTCACCTTTCCTCTTCAACTTCGCTGTTGACGAACTCATGGAAATCGCGTCCACAGGACACGACTTAGAAGGTGTGAAGCTACTCCCAAGAGAACGGCTTTTTGACTTAGAGTATGCTTATGATATTGCCCTAATATGTGACAGCTCACAAACGTGCCAAGCGGCACTGGACAGATTAGCACTAGCTGTCCGTCACTCCGGGCTTTGCTTCGCATCCTCGAAGTGCAAAGCGTTCCTCCAATATTGGTCTGGACCGCCTCCTACGCTGACCCTTGGTGAGGATCAGCTAGAAGTCGTTCAAAAATTCAACTACCTGGGAAGTTGTATCAGCGCCCGTGGGATTGAAGATGAGAGCACTAATGGTATAGCAAAAGCTCGGGGCGCTTTTGCTAACTTTCGCCACTTTTGGAGCCGGCACGACATCAGTCTCGCCCTGAAGGGTAGAATGTACAATGCAGCGGTACGTTCGACCCTACTGTACGGTTGTGAAACCTGGCCGCTTAAAGCAGCGGACCTGAAGAGGCTAGTTACGTTCGACCACCGGTGTCTTCGTAATTTAGCTCACATCTGGTGGGAACACCGCGTGAGCAACGAGCGTGTTCGACGCCTTGTTTATGGCACAGGAAAAGGAAATGAACCGCTCAGCACCGTTATTTCACGCATCAGGCTCCGATGGCTCGGCCACGTGTTACGCATGCCAGCCCACCGACTCCCGCGACGTGCTTTGTTTGCGCGCCGGGGGTGTGGATGGAAGAAGAGGAGGGGTGGCCAAGCGATGACTTGGTCCAGAGGAATGAAGGCCCTCACTTCTGAGCTGGCCTCGGTTGGAACGTCTCGGCTCGCTGGTGGGGTTTCGAAAGACGATGAACACGTTTGGTTGGACACACTTGCTGATATGGCTAGGAGCCGACCTCAGTGGCGTTCGTGCTGTGAGTTTCTTTGTCCCACCCCATCCCTCTTAGCCTTCTCCTCCAACCACGATCTCATTATTTAACCTTATATAATTTTGCATAGTAATTTTTTTGATGCACAGTAGCCGGCTGGTAGCTTACCGGAACGATGCCCATCCGCTACCGGTAGCTCAGCCAGCTTGCACCAGTTGCATTTTTTTTCTCCCTTTTTCTATGTATTGCGGCACAGTAGCTGAAGTGTTTCCCACCTCTAGCTAACGCGTATGATGGTGATGATGATGATGATGAAGCGTGTTTGCAACTGCTTACCGGTGACAACGCGCCACAGCACGCTAACTCACTCTTACTGCACCGATTGATCACTAGACAATCGCTTGACCTTAAAACTGCATGTCCTCTGGGAACATCCCTTCGTTAAGAGTAAATATAAATTATGTGTTAAAGTGATGAAGAATGATCGGGTATGCTCTAGTTGCTCGAAATAATCACAATATGAGTCTTGAGATAGGGTTGATAGAAACGAAACGGTACAATAGCAAGATACGTTTAGTTCAGCCAAGGATGTAGTGCTATCCCAATTGTTAGCAGTCTTGCTGTGCTACTGATATGGCTTACCTCGAGATATACGAGAATAAAAGTGTACTTGTTTATTTATTGCCTGCAGCGTGCCCGCTTCAATTTCTCTCCAGTGTGCCGCACCCTGTGGTTTATTATCCATACAGGGACTTAAAGCCACAGTCAGCCCACTATAGTGAGGAGCCAGACATCATATGCATAGGTTGACGCCAAACAGATACCGGAAAGAGCACCGGAAAACTTGGTGGTCGGACTGGGGAAAACTGAATTGTCGCAGCGCGGATTTCGTCCATCAATGTCGTCCACAAATTCACCGAAAGCACGGGAAA